GTCTGCCAGTCAGTCAGTTTGCAGATTTTGTTTGAGGCTGAGTAGGGTAAGAACAGAAACCTTTCAGCTTCAAGTATGAAGACTGCTCTCTGCCTTTGCTTGCAGCTGAGGGGATGGATCATTAAGACCAGAGTCTAAAAGAGGCGGCAGTGTTACCAGACTGCTAGCAGCAGAGCTAATCTAGGCAGTGCAGATTTTGCCATAGACAAGGAGAGGAAATATCAGTAATAGTGGAAGGTAGCACAGTATGAGAAAAAGGATGTAAATAGGTGGAGCAGGGCTACAAAACTGTCCAAATAAAAGCTGAAACTAGCAACTGAACATTTTTCCATTAGCTGTACAAAGGTAGCTCAAGGACAACTGAATATCCTGGATATCAATGAAGAGATTCCCACTGAGCAATGCAGAATGAATGTGTAGCACACCTCATTACCCAGACCTTCTATGGTTTAAACCAATCAATATAGCTCATACAAACTGTGTAGTGATTCACTTCTATTCCTAATAGAAAATAATGTGCACAAGACACAAAACTTTGCAGTTTTTGTGTACCCTCCACCCCACTTTTTTTACGCCAGCTATCAGACTCTAAACTATTCTTTTATTGTATTGTGTTTTGCATATCCCACTGACCTGCATAAAAGCACACCTCTGGAATAGGATGTTCTCTTAAAACTTGTTCTAAATAAAACTTTTTTTTAGCTTTAACACAATTGGCTGTACAATTATTTTGAGTAGTACAATATATACATTTTAATAATTAACATATTCTTGTTTTGTGGGGGAAAAGATCATTTAAAGTTTCAAAAGCTCTTCACTAACAAATCAATACATAAACAAGTAAAAAAAGCTTAGAATTCATCTGGGGAAAAAAAAATCTGCTTGAGGGAATATTTTTGGTAGTTTTGCAACTCATAATTTGCTTCCAGGGGCAAACTGCCAGTTTCAACTAAAGACAGGATGCATTATTTTGCCAAAAATCACAGTCCATTCTATCAAATCCTTTTTAATATATACTTATAATTCAGAATATGACATTCACCACCTCTAAAGGACTCTCTTGTTAGGTCTTTCTTTTGCACTTTGCAAGACAGGAGCACAGCATAATCAGGCCTGTGAAGTTACGGCTGTATTGAGACTTTGTCTGAACTGTGGCCTGTAAGGCATCAGCTGGGGGAATAACGCTTTTTTATCTGATTAAATATAGCATTAGTTTGCAAATGAGTCTAATGCTTTGGTTTTTTACTCTGAGTAACCTTTAAATCAAGGAGCATATAGAAAATATGTGTTTCAAGACTTGCCATGCCAAGTAAAAGTTCAGCTGAATCACTGCTAGAAATTAAAATAGTACACTCGCTATCTGAACTAATACTGCCAAATTAGCATACAATATTGTTTCTCTGCTTGGGTAATTTATAAATGATTGACAGTGTTCCTGGCTTGGTGGGGAATGCCAGTCATGGGAGAAGGCAGGGAAGGAGAATATGCTTTCCTGCCACTGCCCCTGCTGCCATGGTCCTGGGCTAAGCCTAGCCCCGATGCAGCCCAACTGGAGAGGACAGGAGCTCCCCTCACTGCCAGGACAGTATGGACAGCAGCAGGAGCAGGCTGGGAAGTGGGAGGGGAAGAAACGTGGTTCCAAGCACAGAGGAGAAGGAAGCAAGGTAACTCTTATCTTCTTCAGGACTTTCCCCAGCTGCTATTCCTGCAACCATGCTGCTGCACCTGCTCTGGCCCTGCTCTGTGGTAGCACCACATGACTAGGGATCTATTCATAGCAAGGGCAGGACAGGTGAGCACAGTAACTGCTTTAAGTTTCCGGAGCTAAAGGTACTTATCAAGGAGAGTTTTGCTTTTCCAAGTCAGTATTAAGTCCTCTGGCATCACATTAGCTTGTGGAGAGAATCATAGGTTTGGAAGGTACCAGGGCTGGATCCAAGGGGGTGTAATATCATAGTATACACCCTTTGATTCCTGCTGCCTATTCCTTGGCTTCTCACTGGGGTGGTGAGAGCAGAGGTGGCTGTGAGGGAGCTACTGCAGTTCCCCCCAGCTCTCTCCAACTCAATACTAGCCCTAGATAACTATTTCCACTCCCTGGGCAGAGGAGCCTCCTGGGGAGTAGAGGACAGGGGGAAAGTACTCTGAAATCAAGGTATGGGAAACCTGCTTCCCAGCTAGAGCTCACATCTACTCCAAAGCAGTAGCCACAAGGGGAGCTCAAGCCATGTCAGGTAATACCCCTGCCTCTGTGGTTAGAGCATCAAGGCACTGTTGGAAGCCCTATGCCGGCAAGGGATGCCCAGGACAGCCAGGCAGGGAGAGGGTACATAAAGAATAAACCCACCTGATTCTGAGAATGCCCCCAGCTGATTCATGGTGGTGGAGGGGGTTGGGGAGAGCACAACTCCAGCTCTGCTCCAGCTGGAGGCTGTGGAGAGTAGATGAGCAGGGTGTCAGACTCAACTGCCACACTCCCCTTCTCCAAATCCTGGCTCTGCTCATGGAGTGGACTAAGGGTTATCTGTTCCAACCCCCAGTATAACTACAGTTCCTTAAAGAGAGAGCCAGTGCAAGATGGTGTGGGAGTCAGACATATAGTAGAACAACACAAATTACAGGTAGGCTTTTCACCTGCTGCAGCAAGTTTTCCATGTGTTTGCAACCAGAGCTCTGATTCAACAGCATGATAGGATTCTTGTCTCCCTATTCTGTCTCCCTCAGGTAATGGAGGAGAGAGTGCAATGTGTGGTAATGCAAAGGGAAGATGTTCTCTTTTATTGATTTGTATAAGGGGTTATGATTTTAGGACACTGAACTCTGAAGAGTACATGCTCTGCTGGTACACGCTTTATAACTTTATTAAAATGTTCCCTTGGAGGAAGAGAATGCAAAAATGTAATGTCATTTTCAGAAGATATTAAGATTATAACACCAATTGGTAGGAAATTCAGAGGCTTTTCTTCTCCACAATATCATTAATCAGATTATTCTTAAAAGATTATCTTTGCTTGTATTGGCTTGTGTCCCACCCTCACACAGTTAAAAGTTTTCTTTTACACTTACTCAGATATATTTTGGAATTCACGTTGCGGAAAAAATGACTGTGCACTAATCTAATACACCTATAGGTCAGGGTGTTAGGAAAGGAGAATGCATTTTACATTAGCACTAATAATGGAAGTTCCAGGGATCCAGAGGGCTTAATTTGGACCTCTCTGACCAACCTGGCTTTTCTTCAGGCTCACAGGACTCTATTACCTGACTTTATAGCAGCCTCTTGGGAATCTATTACTTGATTTTACTTCCACTTCACAGGACTCTTGTTGCCTGATCAAATATTGTTCTGTGTCCTAAGGGAAATTAAGCTATTAATTCCATTAAGAAGCTAGCTTTGTTTGGTGTAAAACAAAAAGGTGAAGCTACGGTTAAAAAAAATCTGAGTAATCCAGTAACTCCACTGGTTGTAGCATGCATTTCCTTGCTGGAAACTAGACTTCACGAGCAAGTTAAAGTTGAGCCAAAGCAGCTCAGGAAACATCAAGTAAAATACATATGATCATACAAGGTAAGTTGAACCAAGGATAGTTCATTTCCAAGCTAGACGCTGTAAGTATTGTTAAGATTGTGCTTTTTTATCTTACTCCCTTGCCAAAAAAGTGACAGTGTCTTGTATAAACAAACTAAAGGGGTGGGTACTGGACTCGTCATCTATCCTTAAGATATACAGTGGATGCATTATGGTAACAGGTATTACCAGTGACAGGTATTTTGGTTAAATTCTGGTCTTATGTGTTTTTATGTCAGCTGTCATTAGAAATGAAAGCAAAAACACCATTTCTTCTGTAAATGTATTTATTAGTGTTGGTTTTCTTAAGGAAGAGAAGGAAGGAAATACTATTACTATACACCCATACAATCCTGAGACAACTTTAAGTCAGACAAGAGACAAGAACATCACAGCCAATTGATGATAATAATAATAAGAGTCAAAATTTTGTCTTAGATTCTTGCTCACAAATCTTTTTAACATTAGGATCAATTGCAAACATAAGCAAGAGTATAATTTGGCTTTGAGAAATGTAAGAGAAGTGGTACAGTAAGAAAATGGAGGTGAAAATTCTTATGATTCTGAAAACCTTCCACAGAAACTAACCATTTTCTGCTAGTGACAAATCCTGAATCTTCAGGATATCAAAGAAAATGCTGGAGCTTCTCAAAATGGATGTAATTGCAAATGCTGTGACAAAAATGAAAGTTGATCGGAGTAAGTCAATTGTTAAAATAATTAGAAGTGTTTCCCAAATTCAATACTCATAGTTTGAGCTAAATTGTTGATTTCAGTTCTCCAAAATGAAACTGTCTACCACTAATCTTTCATGCTGAAATCAAAACTTGCTCATCAGTGACTTTCTTTGTACTCTCTCTGTGCTGGAGAAACAAAGAACAAAACTCTGCCTTCAATGCCTCCCAAGAATTATATCAATTAAAAAATAGGAGATTTTTGACTCATCTTGCCCAATTTAAATACAACTGCTAAATATATCTTTTAGCTGGAAATATCATTTGTCTGGAAGAGGCAACCATTGAAGAACCTACAGATAATGAATTAAAGTCTTTTCTTGCCAGATGTAATGGTACCTTGACAAAACAAGCAGATCTCATTTGCATGGGCAACACACAAGGTACAGACATAATTTTGGGCTGTTTTGGGTCAAAATTGTCTTGTCTTGGATGAAAAATTAACAAAGTATTGGAACTTTAGGACAGAATAGTATGCTGAATACAAGTGAAGGGCAAATTGTCACTTCAGTTTCCTACTGCTGCAAGATGCCTCTTTATAGAAGCCAGACACAAGGATTTTTTAGGGTGATATCTTTTATTGGACCAACTCATAGTTGGCCCAGTAAAAAATATCACTGTAAGAAATCCTTGCTGCTTGCATATTTTCTGGATCATCATAGCTACAGCTTACTCTTTGAACACTAGGAAACTCTTTGAACACTGGGAAAGACAGCACTCTTTCCCACCTACAAAGGTGGGAGGTGCATTTCCTGAAGGCAGCTCTTGATTCTTTGTTTGAATCTCTGACAACAAACTGCAAGTGAGAGGCAGCAGAGGAAGGGAACAGCAGTATTTTAAAAGAACATTTATTCATTAGATACTATTTGGAGTCATAATTTATATTGCATTCCTCCCCTAATTAAATTCCCATTGTTCTGTACAGACACTGAAAGCTAGCAAGGAGGGAAATACTGTCTATTAGGGTATCTAGCAGAGGTGTTCCGTTTTCTCAATTTTCTGTGTAAAGACTTAAAATGATTATGCTTTTTAATATGAAGACACCTCTAGATATCTAGGTATTGAACCTAGCTCATTTTACTCCCAACAGCTCTTGGCAGAAAGGGCCCGTTTAAAGCTAAAGCTGTTGTTATGAGCCCAACAGAGACTCCACATTTCCGTATTAACCTTTAAAAATTACCCAAGACAAATTTTCTCTGCTAAAAATCAGAGTCAGTGATCCACCATATTTCATTACTCAGACTTTCAGCCTTTTCAGTCCAGGAGGAGAGCAGCAGAGAGTACATTGCTACCTAGGCTTTGGCAGCTGGGAATTTTCTTACTCAAAAGGCACCCAATTTCAACAGAAATTTATTTGAAGGAGGCTCTCACGACCCTGCCCTTCAGAGGCTGTAGAGGACGCCAGTTATCCACCAGGGGGCGAAAAGGTTCATTCTCAGTGTTCATGGAAAGGCTCCGTAGCTTTGCCATCTACAAAGACCCATAATAAAAAGGTCAGCAAGCTGAGGAACTGGGATGTACACCATAATCAATTCAAAATTGACAAAAAGTCATGCCTGTGGATAGGTGAATCTCTAGGTACAGTTTACCTGGTCTGGGCTGACAACAATAGGCTCCCTTAGAAGAATCCAGGTGACGCACTCTTCACAAGGAGGTGTAGTGAAGGAGCCCTCATAGGTCCAGTAGTCCCGAGACTTGGGGAAAAGGATTGATGGATCAAAGTGTAGAAAAGGACTCTCTTTCCCCTTAACCAGACAAAACAAAATGCTATTCAGTAAGCAATTTTAATACACATCTTGTTTAAAGGGAGACTCAAGTTACAACAGAAAACTTAATGAAAGGTGTTCATGTAAGAGAAAACTCCTCCTCTCAAACATTTGTTCAGTAAATTTCCTTTCTAAAATAATAACAACCAGCATATATTTTATTTACATCGCCTGTATAAATACATTAAAAATGTACTATATCAAATTGTCCATCACTTTTAGTATGGTTGTAACTTCCTTCACCACAATGTACTTTACCAAACTATTTCAAGTAGTCACAGTTTTATCTATAATTTAACTATACCAGTCTGCAAGAGCAAAAACAAGTAGCCTTATTTAGATTTATATCTTGCAAAGTAAAAAACGTAAGTATGAAAAAAATAAAAGACAACTATTTTGGGGATTGATGCCTAGCTCATTTTCTTATTTTTCCTTCTTTCTTGAGCTGCTTCTTTTTCAAAATGGTTGTAGATTAATTTTGTATTTCTCAGAGTAGTAATAAGTTTCTGCTATATAAAAGTGAACATTTATCCCTCCACCCCCCACGCATCCCTTTTCTTTTTAAATCAAGACCAAGTTGAAAAATCCGATAGTTAAACAAAGTCTCAGATGTCAGGCAGTGGGGTTGATATCACTGCTTTTCAACATAGTTAACAAACAAAACATTTGTAGATTTCTCAAGAAATCTTGGTTATAGTGACAGGTATTCAGGTTGCAAGTGGCATGCAAAAAGCAAGGCAATATCCGAGTAGGGCAAGTGATGACTGGGGTGTTGAAATGAATGTCATGAGAAGACCAGAGGGGGGAAGAGAGGCAAATGAGATCAGCTTGCCTACCATGGGAAGAAGTGGAATAATAACAATATAGGAATACAAGTCAAAGACAGTTCTATATGTGGTGGAAGTGAATAAAGACTCAGAAGAGAGATTTGAGGAGTTAACCATGCAAATTAACAGCACTACTAGTGCCTTTAAGGACAACCCAAGTTTTAAAGGTTTGCTGGATTGAGGCAAGTCTTCAAATAGTTGAGCGACATGATGAATTACCAATGTAGAATGTGGAGACAGCTAGAAAGGATCCTAATGTTGGTAATAGAATAATATTTTCAGGAAATCCTAAATTGTTAAAATTTACTTTTCTGTTCAATAAGACTAGGTCTGATAACATAATTCTGTAGAAGTTCTGCCTATGTTAAAAAAATACAGAACTATGCTCTTATACTGCATTCATTTGAAAAAACATTTTAGGGCATAGAGTTCAGTGCTATTTGTGCCCATATCTGTAAAGACTATTTACCATCTGTGCATTTAGGAACTTATGTCCAAATCCTATTAAAGCCAACCTAACAGAATTGAGAAGGAGAATTATATTTCTTCTTATAGAAAAGAAACTATTCTGAGTCATGTTCATCAGTACACACAGGATGTTGATGTATGGCCAAGAGTACAGCCAGAATAGATTGTCATATCTGGCCCTCTAATTTTCATTTCTGCTGATGCTCTGTTAACCTAATAAAATGCAAACTGTTTTATTACCTTGGTCTTGATAGAGTCTATTTCTTCAAGAATTCTTTTCATCTCTCGTTTAAGAGTTTTCCCTACCTGTAATGCAGAAAGCATGAGCTGAACAAGTAGTTTTGTCAGATGATATATATTTGTTCACCATATCTTACAACTGCATTAAAAATGAACGCAAACTATATCTCTTGTAAGTTTAATTAGCAACATTCTCAGAACATCTTGTATGAAGAAACAAAAGTATATCTGATACTGTGGAAAACGTCCTGAATAATATTAAAAGTGAATTAATTTAATTCTAACAGTATTTGCTAAATCTTCATATAAGACTCAAATATGCTACAACTTGACACCCAATGGCTTCAGTGGGAGAAAGGGATTCTACATTGTATTATAAATAGGATACAGAAGAAAAAATGTGATTATTTACAAAAAATGTACTTTATTTCTCTCAATTTTTTCTTAGGAAATATAGAAAATGTATGGTTTGTTTAGCATGCATCTGTGCCATTAAATGGTAGCATTCCTACAAGGTGTATACTTTGGCTCTTATACAGTAGCCTCATTTTATGACTGAGCGGATATAAGCGGATATACGCAGAAAGTCGATAGCTTAGCAAAGGATATCATCTCAGGAAATTAAAAAAGGAGAAGAGCAAAGGAGGATGTTATCACAACTGTATACAGTACAAAAGAAGGCCCTTAGCAACAGCATCTAAAAATAAGATAGCTGCTCTCTAGGGCTGTGCAAAGGTTCGGTCCCTGTTTCGGTGGCCAAATCTCCAAATCCGAATCAAATCAGAGGACCCTTTAATCTCTCCAAATCGAATCGGAACCCTCTGAATTGATTCAGAAAGATTTGGAAAGAGGTGACGATTCAGACATAGACGCAGTTTTAAAAGTTTTCTCTGCATACCTCAAGGTGGCTCATGAACGCTGCAATGCTGGGGCAGGTGGAATGTCCCACAGAAGTGTAGGGGGCTCCCCAGTACACTTGGCAGTGTGACGGGCTAGCTAGCAGTGACTTAGTCCAGGGATTTTGAAGGGGTAAAAGATGACTGGAGGTCTTGGGATTCCCTTTCCTCACCAATCAGGCCCCAGAGACTCACCCTCCATGTCCCCTGATTGTCCTCTTGAGTCACCTGGAGGGGGATAAAAGGGGCAGCGCAGCTGATTCAGGGGAGACCAGCAAGGGACCACAAGGAAGGAGCTTCAAAGAGTTGGCAAGAGCAGGGTCAGCAGGATGGGAGCAGTGCCCCAGAAGCACCTGAAGGAGTGGGACCTGCAGGCAGCAGTTGGACCTTTAGCAGCACAGCGTGCAGCCAGCAGGAGAGGCTCCCCGCTGGGCTCCAGGGTCCCCTACGAGAGGCTGTGGCCAGCAGGAGAGGCTCCCCAGCTCCAGGAAGGATCTGAACAGCGACCCGAGAGGTTCCCAGCTCGGCCTTCCAGGAGCCCCAAGCTGCCTAGCCTCTTATTGGAGGAGCTTGAAGCAAAGACCCCTAGCAGCTTGGCTCAATAATAGCACTGGTGGCTGTGTGGTAGAGTTTCTACTTTCCACATGGGAGAGCTGAGTTCAAGTCCCAGCTTGGGTGAGTGAAGTAAGAGGGAGAAATTCTTGTTGCAGTGGAAAGGGGGTCATTGTGTTCTCCCCTCCAGGTACCTAGGCCCTATATTTCTTGTTATTTGACCTTTTTGTATTTTGTGCCTTTTATATTTCACCAATCAGTATTGTTTGTTCTGCTGTTTGTGTTTTATATTTTGTTAACCCTGTCTTTTGTCAACTGGATGAATATGTCTATGATTCTAAGTGTCTAACCTTTGTTGAATCCTGCCCCCTCGGGCCATTGTAGTGTCCCCTATACCCCCTGGTTTATACTGGTTATGTTCCCAGTACTGTTCTCTCATTAAAAGGTATATGGTTAAGTCCCCATTGGTGGTCTGGCTCTGCTCTATAGGAGGAGGAGAGTCCCTACACCTCCCACAGCGCTTGTGCACCTGCTTTGATACCTTCAGCTGGAGAGGGGGTACCGCCTGGAGTACCGCCCGGGTTACACCAGCAAACCTGGAAGTGGACCAGAAGCACTTCCAATCCACGTCTGGGTCTGCTGGAGAGTGCACTGAGGCCCCCCCCCATGACTTCCCAACTCAGCGACTGGTGCCTCCTGGGTCTGGGGGGGCACCCGAGGTCCCCCGCAGCCAATCACATCTCCAAATCAGAATCGAATCTTCAGATTCAGATTTGGCCAAATAGAATCAGGGACAGTGATTCAAATCAACGGATTGAATTGCTGTCCCCAGTTCAGGCCGAATCCAAATCCAAATCAAATAGGGCCCGTTGTGCACACCTACCACTCACCTCTGGGAGAATGGGTTGAAATTTGATTCAAGTCATCAGTAATGCAAATTTCACCTCATCAAGCTACCTCATTCTTGACATCATCCTACACTCCATAAACCAACTATCCACTGAAGTTTGGCCTAGGAGAAAACTACAATCCTAGGGCGTGTATAGATGAAACAGGGGCCCTAAATTGAAGCAGTGGGTTGAAAAACCCACCGCTTCAATTTAGGCCCCTTAAAACTCCCGTGTCATGCACTTACCTCCCTCTCTGATGGCAGGGAGGGGAGGGCAAGCTGCTGGTGGGCAGAGAGGTCCCTGGGCGGAAAGGTATCAGCGGCAGCCCCCATCCAGGCGGCACCCACCCACAGGAACCTGGTTTAGGCAGTCCCAGAGGGCACTGCAGCCTCGGAGGGAAGCACCGGGCTCCTACACTCATGCAGGCAGGCAGGCAGGCTCTGGGGTGGGGGAAGGGTTGGAAAATCAGGCTCGCTGCTTTTCTTGGGCAGAGCCTGCCTTCCCAGGCTGTTCCCAGGCTGCCTGCAGGGCTTCCTGAAGGGCTTCCTGAAGGGCCCCTAAGCTGCACAGAGCCTGGTGCTTCACTCTGTGGCTACAGGAGCAGCAAACTAAAACTCCTTGGAGTTTATTTTGCTGCACCCCAAGTCATTTAAGGTGCATTATGCCACTGAATATCCTACAGTGGCTGGAATTAATGCGCAATACACTGCCAAGGTGTGCAAACACTGACATGATAAAGTGGTGTAAAAGCATTTAGCCTGCTTTAAAGTGTCGTGCACACACGCCCCTCGTTTCATCTACACATGGCCCTAGGTTTCTTCTCATAAGCCCAGGACAAGATCTGGCTGGTTAATATTCAGAAGTGTCTCAGCACTCTCATATGGTTGTTGGTTGCACTCAAAATGTATTTGCAAAGACATGCAGAGAGAAAGGTTAACATTGTCTGCTTCTATTATATCTGCTAGTAGGCTATGCTTTCAATGTTATGTTCTCACTTGAATTTTAGTGCTCCCAAATGAGAGAGAGAAAAGAAAAAATGAGAGAAGTTCAATACTACAGGGATTTTCACCATACAATTACTATAGGAACCTCTGAATTTTGCCTTAATAAAGATGAACAACTCGGTAAGGACTTTGTGTTTATGTTCATTAACATGGGCCTAGATCAAAACCTGGGATCCAATTCCCGAATCTGGAGGAAGCAACAAAGCTCATGCCTTGAATCCATTTGCACAACAGTCTTGGATCTAAACCCTGAGAAAGTTTTTATTATTATCCATATATAAACTTTTGAGCTCAGCTCCATTTAATAACCACTGCCTGTTTTGTTAGGGTTGGATGAAAAGCTAAAAAGCTCTCCAAAGGGTGGTAACTATAAGGCACAAATAGTGGAAGTTGTGGCCTCTCTAGTCTTCTTTTTTATATCACCACCGTGCCAAGCAGCCTGATCACAGCCTGTTCTGCCCACTGAGCAGCATCTCCAAGCCACCCTGCAGCCACGAGCATCCAGCCCAAACTTCCAGCTCACCCCTGCCACTCTGTTCTGCCAGTCTCTGTGCTTTCCCGGGATCAGCGTTTCTCAGCCCACAGCTCGTGAGTCTCTGAAATCTTCTTGAGACTCACTTTTGGGTTGTGATCCATGGGTTGAGAAATGTTGCTCTAAAGTGACCTTTGTTCACATGTGATGAGGCACACAGGGATGAATGGTTTTAAGGGTCTCTCTACATACAATAAATTATAAGGGGAACAGGCCTCATAAAAATCTTCAGCCTATGCAATGTTTTCCTATAATGCAAAGCAATACAAGGCAATACAACAGAAACAGCTTTCCCCCAAACGGGCTACAGTATATGTACAGTACTACCAAAAATAAACTTACTTGCAGAAAAACACCCACTACAGCCACTCCATCACGTTGTTTCAAAGCTGGAGCAAAATTACCATGTTTTGGATTCCAGTGCACCATGTGAAGCTGAGAACAAAAAGAAGCTGGATTTTATCAATGCTGTTATGCAATATAAAGCAGGGTAGAGCCACAATGATGCATGCATTTCTCATGCACCCCATTGAAACCTGAGTGCACAGAGAATGCAGAAAATACGAATAAAGTATGCCCAACCCCTGCTAGTTTTTTCTTATGCTTCCTGTAAGTCATATGTTAAAAATTTACTTTTTAAATGTAACACAAAAAATTGACCATGGAGCAATGCAGAGAATAATAGAAAATTTGCTTAAAATTAGACATAATGCAACAGAGAAAATATTACAGATGCATGTAATATTCATACATGTAACATGGGCGTTTCCTATTGACATGTTTTTTCTCAGACAGATTTTCAGGTTAGAGAAATTCCAACCAAAGACTCTTGATTAAGCAGTGCCTTATAAAATACTGTGCTATAGCTCCTGATTCTACTCCATCCCAAATGGCAGGGAATGAACAAGATAACAATTCTCTCTCATCTCTGCTCAGGACATTTTTTAGCACATTTTTATTTTTTCTTCTACAGCAGCGGTTCTCAACCTTTTTTTGTACCAGGACCCACTTGTAAACATTGATGGCCAGGTCCTGACCCAGTAAATAGTTTAAGTAGAAAACAGCTCCCTGGCCCTGCCAGTGCCCCTCACTCCCAACCTGCTGCCCCCCATCCCAAGCGGCAAGACTCATTGCTGCTGCCACCACTGCCTGGACCCCTGTCTCAGCTGCACCATCAGCAGCTTGAGGGGTAACAGATGCAGGAACGGGGACCATGCTGCCCTCACTTTCTGCTGCCACCAGCTGCTTGGGCACGGGGCCACAACTCTACCCTGCTGCCATGGCCCAGCTGCCATCACCACTCCTCAGGTCACCTGTGCTGCCTGCCACACCAGCTCCTCTCTGGGATACAGCTGTGTCCTGAGGGGTGTGGCAGCAGCGGCTGGGCCATGGAGGCAGGGTAGAGCCACAGCCCAGCATATGAGCGGCTGGCATTGGGAGGAGGTGAGGGCAGCATGGGCCCTCTCTCCTACCCAATTCATTTCTCCTCATGCTGCTAGGTGGTGCAGCTGGTGCAGGGTCCTGCCAATGGCAGCACTGAGTCTTGCTACCCCGCTCTGCCCTCCCACACTGGGTCCTGCCCGCTGCCCGCAGAGGCAAATCCTACCTGTGTCAGTCCGGCCAGGCTGCAGACCCATGCCCGCACATGTTCCCCCCGCATACCCCTGCAACACCTTGTCTGTGAGCCCCCCATCCTGCTGATGCTTTGTCTATGCCCCGCACCTCCTCCCACCCCATAGATTTACCTGGAGCTGCTCTCCATGCTGCCTGGCTGCCACATACACGTGGCATCCCTTGCCTGATCACCCTCCTCTCACTCCCCCCAGCCCCAAGCAGTGCCTTGGAGGCTAGAACTCTGCCAGCCTGCAAGGGGAAACCCATTGTTTCCCACATTTTCCTCCTTTAAAGGACAATCCATTTTTTAAGTTTGTTCGCGACCCTTTCATTATATTCTTGTGACCCACTTTTGGGTTGCGACCTACAGGTTGAGAAATGCTGTTCTAGAGGACCTGTCTAATGATTAATACAACAAGTGTCCCTGGGAAATACCTGAACATATGTGGAATTTGTACATATTTACATGGACTATTAGCATGGTATTGCTGTATTTAGACTGCAATCTTGCAGGAGACTCTCCAATAGTTTAATTCAATTTAGTCAGTGTAACCATCATCATAAAGTAATGAAAAAAGGCCTGACATTCTCCCTAAATATGCAACATAGAATACTGCTTTTTGTCTATTTTTGTCAGTGCCAAGCTACATGACACTGTTAAGGATAAAAGCAGCCTAGCCTGAGATCTCCAACTGCATTTAAAAAAACATCATACATTCCATGCATTCTCCCTTCTGTACAGAAGACAAGGGCCAAGTCTTATTTCTGCAAGTAAAGGTCAAAGAAAAAGACTCTCACTGATGGAAACAAGGAGATATTTAGGGAAACTGAATTAATTAGTTCAAGCAGAAAATAGGAAGTAGGTTGACTATGGTTGATACTTTCAGAATGACTATGGTTGATACTTTCACACAGGGGAGCAGAGGGGAAATCATTCACAGCCCTTTCCACAACATTTTATAAACCAACCTGAAACTTGGGCAGTTTGCCCAGCTGCACCACACCACACTTAAATTTGCATTATATGTTAAGAGAGAAAAATAAAAAAGGGCCCTACCTCTGCTGCATATTTCACTCCATCCACAATGTGCTCTGAGCCATAATCATCAGAAGAACCCCAGTGAAAATGAAGTTGTCGCAGCCTGTAGGCTCCTTGAATAGGTCCACCTCTCAGAACTGCAAATGATAACATACCTGAATGGTAGGCCTTTTTCAAGAAGCTTTGCATGCATTTCCTGCATCTTCAGGCCTCCCAAACCTGAAAAGGTATTGAGAACCTTCTACAAATTCAAATGAATTCAGTGAGAGTTGAGGGCACTTTGCAAATCTAGTAGGATTTGGCCTGTATGGTCCTATACATAAGGATGATGCAGTAAATAAGGATTAGATTCTATAGGTATAAAAAAAGTCACAAATACAGTCAAACCATAGAATTAGTTACTGGCTGAAGAACAGGTCAGATTTCTCTAACAGTAGCACATAGAGCTTGTGGAGGAAAAGTGCTCATTATTCTTCAACAACAATCATGTCATGAAATTCTAATAAAGACATAAAAGGAGTATGTCTAAAATCAGCCTAAAAGGTGTGTAAAGTACTAAAAGCTATGTGCCTCATCCAACTTATTTATTAGGTAAGAACCTGCATTCTGAATAGATAGGGAATAAGTCTACTTTCATCTTTTTTACTGAAATATTTAAAACAAAGTATTGGAAAAATGCCTATTTAATGCATTTTTATGGACATATAATACAAGGTATTTCTAAACTGTAATAACAATACCTGTTAAGGCCATTAATTTGCCATTAAACTGAATAGACAGACCAAGTAATACTTTTCTAACACTTCATTTTCACTTATAGGCTACTACAACATTTAAAATTTGTCATGAGGTGAGGCTAGAAGGCCTCAAGTAAAAACAATCATGTTTCTCTCATCTATAAATATGGCTTGACTTGTTCAATATAAAAAACTAAAGTATCTGTAAAATGTAGAAAGATCTTCCAACTGGATTCCTTCCGTCATCTTGATTTTGTTTAGAAAGCACAGTCCAAGACATACACATGTATATCGTGAGCGTACAGAAACTCTGAAGGCAAGTGATACAACTTTCTATGCTCTCATTGGGAAAACACTGAAGTCTACCTATTTCACAGCCCAAATTCCAAGGATAAAACAAAGGGTCTAGAACAATCTACAAAGTAGACCTGGCTGAAAAGTAGAGAAGACGGACCCTTATTTTGTTTCTGCTTGTGACTGAATCCAAGGTCTTTGAAGCAGTTTTCTATTATTTGAGGTAAAAATGAAAGGAAGGAAGCTCAGTTTTATTAAAAGTAAAGACTAGTGATCAATGGTTGCAAAAGAACCGTATGTAACATGTCCCTTGATATTGGGTGTAAGGAAGAGAATGATCAGTTTTTAAAGTCCAGCGTAGCCTGTTTTTATACATTTTATACTCAAGGCCTCCAAGCTATATTTGTCTACATGTAGCAGTCCTGTCAAATAAGTGGGTTATAACATCTCCACTATGTCAAAGGCTGTGTTTAAGTCTACATAAAATTAGATCATTGCCCTTGCGTAGGAAGTAAGTTATACTTCATAGGAGGATATTAGATTGGTCTGATATAATCTTTCTTGGATGAATTTATGTTGTGTTTTCTCCCATTATCTTGTTATTCTGGGATGCATATTATCCAATTCTGTAGCAACAGCAAACTGAGATTTACTTTTACCTCAGATATAGCAGACTCTTTTCCACCCCACCCACACGCCACTTAATTACGCTGAACTAGAAGCCATGGCAGGAAAGCTCCTGAGTAGCAAACGCTTCTAGTAGACTCAAAAAAATAAAAATAAAAACCAGTGATTTCTATACCATCAGAGGCTACAAAATACATATTACCACCATGCGGACACAGTGCCAAACACACAAATTCACTGATCCTGTGTGAACAGGAGCTGCTCCTCCATCACCAAAACGCTCCAAATCAAATTTCCCTGTTAGCTGGCTTGTTTGCTAGCTCACACTAGTCCTTGGCTCCCAATGGTTGCTAGTTTTCTTTTAAGCTGGAGGGGATAAAGGGCATGTGTACATGTGCACTTTACTGTACAGTAGCCTATTCTACTGTGCGTTAAAGCGGTGCATAAAAAACAATGCCAATATGCTAATGTGCAGTAGAATAGCCAACTGCACATTAAGCATTACCTAAAAAGCATGCACTCGCACTACTACACATTAGCACAACCTAATGTGTATTTATTTAGTACCTCATAGTATCTCATATTGGAGGTACTAAATGTAATGCACATTAATAAAAGTACATCAATGCATGTGTAGACACACCCACTGACTTCTTTGTTCTGTCATCTATAAACCAAAGAATAGAACAAGACTGAAATCTATTTGTCAAACTCCAAAACAGAAGCATTTCACTCACTTTGGCCTTCTCTTCCTCCACAGCTCCTTCCTTTTAAATACTTAGGTCTAATATTCGGGGGGCTAACAAAGGGCTAAGGAAGATGCTGGTGTTTCTGGTATTAGAGGGAACTTAGATTTGAGGTGTATGGATTTGGTTGGAGAGGTCAGCCTATGCCAAGTTCCCTGGTCTTAGTTATCCCAGGAAAACAGACAGAAAAGTATATTTTGGATAGGGGTGATCCTGCCTTGGATAGCAATGATCCTGCCTGAGGCAGGATATTTGGCTAGATGACCTATGGAAGTCCCTTCCAGCCCTACTTCTCTATGATTCTATGATTATGGCCTTAGTATTTCCCCCTGACATTTTCCACCTAGAGAGACACCCCTTTCTGCAAATAATTTTACTTGATGAAATTTACTTTATTGAGGAAGCCCTCTTTTGTCCCTCTCAAGTACACTCTTAAGATGACAAACCTGGCACCTTCTTCTCTTTCTGGTTGAAAACACCTGCACAGCTACTCCAATGATAAAAAGGGCTGCAGCCCAGATTTCCAAACCTATAAATAGGGATGTCAAACTCATCTGGCTCCACAAGCTGGATGAGTGGTCCACAGGCTGAACTGGGCCCATGGACCTCTTCCTCACCCCCAGCATACCTGTTCCAACAGCTGTTCCAGCTTGTCTGGGACCTGTGGTGTGTGCAGTGTGGATACTGGAGTGGCTGGAATGGGCACCAAGCACAGTGCAGTCTGGCCAGAGTGGTAGGCGCTGCATGCAGTGGCTACCCAGCAGCTCTGGGACAGCACCACACAGGACCCCTGCTCCAGCCAGTGCTTTGGCCTTCCTGATTTCATCCCTGCTGTGAGCAATACTCTTATACTCCTCCCTAGTTGCTTGTTCAAGTTTCCACTTCTTGTAAGCTTCCTTTTTGTGTTTTAGCTCATTGAAGAGTTCCCTGCTAAGCCAAGCCAAGATAGTCTTTTGCCATACTTGCTAGTCATTCTGTGCACTGGGATAGTTTGTTGCTGCACAGGACCAAGGTGAGTTTGTTCTGTGAAAGTGATTTCTTCCAGGAGTCTGTGACAATGGCTGCGACAGGCTTCTTTACACACAAAATATGTGTTTATTTTGTCCAAAAGGAACATAATACACAGAGCAGAGGGGGAAAGCCACAAATAATTCTCTAGGTCTACTTCCCCATTCCAGGCCCTTCATCTTTTCTAACAAACAGTTATAAACTCCTTTCCACTGAGAAAAACCCCTATTCCTGGCTCAGAGAAACTGACTACTGTTTGCAGCAGAATCTCTCTGCATCTCACTTGCATGCCTGTCAAAACTAACTTATCCCCTTTGATTCTAGACTTAGCCTTGGAAAGAGTAACTCATTCTTAGCCTGGAAAGCTAAGTCACAGGTATTGTCAATCTTCCCTGTTGTTTCCAGAAGGATTCCTGTTTGTGTCTGTGTGGCTTTTCCCACTTGACTCTTAACAATCTCTTTGGTCCCTGCCAGATGTTACACTTCACACTCAATCAACCTATTGTCTTAAATAGTAACACATTCAGGCAAGTAATGGCACAACAAAATGGAAAGCCAGCCACAATATTATTCCACAAAATGTGTAATATTTTTGTGGTCGGTTTTCATTGTGCCTTAAACTGAACAGGTGGAAGGGTCCTCACCAGGCATTCTCACGTCCGCTGCATGGTGAGGCTTGGGTGACAGCTCCTCATGTTGGCAAGCTGACAGCCATGGCATGCAGCCCTGCATGGGGCTGTACCCTGCTGTTTTCAGCCATGGCTCCCTGCAATCAGGGAAGTTGACTGCCTTGCTCCACAGCTCCCAGGGGCATACATCCTAGCCACAGGAATCCTGGGATCATGGAGAGGTTACTTGATCCCAGGGTTCTCATCCACTGGGATCTTAAAAAAACTGCATATGCAGCAGGGCTGCAGATGAGGTTTTCTGACATCCAGGCAAACGGGCTCTGAGACGAGCCCCAGTGCAGTCACAGGGCTTGGACCCACAATCACCTGTTTTGGGTCCCATCCCCAAAACTGCACTGGAGTTTCCTGCCAGCTCCAGTGTAGCTAAAACTATTAAACAAATGATTGTTAGTCCCAGCCTTGGGACTGCAATAGTTCACACCAGGCTGTGGACACCCAGCTTTCATCTTACCAGTACAGGGGGAGGCATAATTATGTCCCCAGGCTCTCCCTGCACTGGCAAATACAGGGTACAGTTGTGACCTGTCTCCATTCCTGAAGTCATGCTTCCTGCAATGTATGCAACATGGCAGGAGGTACAAGTTGTTCAGGCTGGCAATCAGATCACAGTGCCATTAACAGAACACATACCAGGGGTCTTTAATGTTTTAGCTCTTTGCATTCACACACAAGAATATCATACAGGATAACTTGAGGAGCATTAAAGGTAAAAAAATTCTACACCCAGCTCTATAATTCTCCCTATTTTCTGTGTGATTTTTCCCACAAAACAAAATTCCCATTAAAGGCTAGTTTAGTTGTTTTCAATCAACCTGAAACCAAGAGTTTAACAGCATGTAGCTTGAGTCCTACAGAGACACTGTGTGGCCAAAATATTCAGCTGGCAGAACTGTAGACTTGCCATAAATCAGTATAGCATGTAAGGACCAGACTATGAATATACCTCGACAGGAATGAAGGAAACTATGTGCATACATTTGTTTTCTTAGGCAAATCCCTCCCTCCAATTCTGGGCCTTTGGACTACAGGCTACTATCAGCCAAGCTCTCAAATTCACTTTCATTTGTGACCCAAGGCAGAAATGAAACCTATGTCTCTAGGCAGAAAGCTAACAATCCACTCCAAAAGTACAGCCCCAGAGGCTTGCTCTGAATACCATGCAAGTTTTAAACACCAACAACAGCATGGAAGTCCAAAGTTAACATTAATACAGTTCTTAAATCCTCCTGTGTCTAAGGATTGCTGGTCCTAAATTAATGCTTGAGATCATGCATGCTGGATTACCCAGGGATAAAAGATGCACTAAACCCAGAGTGGAAGGCTTAACTTTGTTGTTTCTATCTTTAGTTGACATGTGTCATTGCCATAGGGAACATCAGCAAAAATGTACCGGGTTTTAATTGTGGAATTCTTGAAACTGTAAGTGACTTTATTAATAAATTAAATCAGCATAAATGATTTAGTTATATAATATTATAACAAAAGCCTCTTAAAAAGTGACACACAAAAGTAGATAAATATTTTCATAATTTCCATTTAATTTTTCTTATGGGGAAACTCAGGAAGAAAAACT